TAATGGCGAATTTGATGATGAGATTACCAATCAGCTTAAGAAGCTTCTCTGTTTCAGCTTCTTCTTCTTCATCAAACGGTAACACTCGAAAGCCCTAAAAAATCCTCACAGTAGTCTGAATCTGAGTTTTGATTTTTGGTTATTCAGGTTCGCCGCCGGTGATCGGAGGAGGATCATCTAGCGGCGGTGGTTTAGGTCCGATGATCGTGGAATTGCCGTTGGAGAAGATACGTAGACCGTTGATGCGAACCAGATCCAACGATCAGAACAAAGTGAAAGAGCTCATGGATAGTATCAGCCAGATCGGTCTTCAAGTTCCGGTTAAGCAAATTGACTCTCTACTATCCAATTTTGATTTTGAAGTACCGGTTAAGAATAACATCTCGAAATTGGAAAACAAAAAAAATGTAATTTTGATGTGGTTTTGTGTGACAGATCGATGTGATTGAAGTAGATGGAGCTTACTATGGTGATTTTTTTTTTCTAAAATTCTGTAATCAAAATTTTTAGAAAGATGATGATTAAATGTTCCATTGTTGTAGGATTCTCGGGTTGTCACAGGTTCGAGGCACATCAGAAGCTAGGGCTTCCAACTATACGCTGCAAAATCCGCAAAGGAACAAAGGAAACACTAAGGTATGTAGTATGTGTTCTTCAAAGAAAGCATTTTTTTTTTTCTTTCTAAAAACTGTAAATTTTTTTATTGAAGATTTTGCTTATGTTAAGGGCTTGTTTGGTTTCACAGGCATCATCTTCGCTGAGAGTTTTATACAATCTGTATCTATGAAATTTGTGTTCTTTGTTTGTAAGAATAAGAACTTTTGTAAAATCTATGAGATATGATTTGCTGAGATTCGAAGAGGGTTTACGTTCTATTTGCGCACTAAACAGCTAGAAACAGTCATATTTGGATCAAATGGAACATAGAAATCGAGATCACAGATTTTGAAGTTGCAAACTTTGTTTTTTAGAGTTTTCAAAGTTGAAACTAGTTAACTTTGTATACCAATTATTGTGGGGGTTGAATCTCACAATAAGATTAAGTAACTTTTTAGGGTTTGTAAAGTTTTATAGAAAGTCACCCAACGCAAAGATCTCAAGAGAGGTTTTTATTAAGCTGTTAGAAAGCTGTTTCAGAATACAAGAGTTTGTCTAATGAATTTTCGATCCCCCTTTTGAGTGAGAATGATGAGCTATATATAGTGAAAATATCTAAAATGGGCCAGCTAATAAAATAGATCTGGCCCATTAAACAATAAATCTAATTTAGGCCCATTATTCTATTAAGCCCATTTTGCTCATGGGTTTAATGTCATTTTGGGRRCWGATTCAGGCTGAGCCTTCGTAGATTCGTCGTGATTTCGTCAGGATATTGCAGAGTTGATCTCGTCGCTATATCGATCTCACAGGGGTGAAATATGACCCCTACAGTTAG